AAACGTTTTAAATTTTCATGCTCATTAACATTATAGGCATTAATGTTATTTCTAGGATTGCTGCCATGTACCTGGTTTTTAGCGAGACCTCTAACAATATAGGGAAATTAATAGGTACACAAACAGAGTGCAGCTATTAGTTATAGTACATGGGTAAAAAACATAAATTTGGTAAAACTCTAAACTGCCATCCACAACAGCGTACAAAGCATAAGTAAAATTATGGCAAAATAAAAACAAAATAAAACCTTAAAACTAGGCTCAATGTTATGACACAGGCAATAAAACGAGGTAATAAAAAAATGTAAATTAAGGATTTCGAGTACCAGGGCCGCACAAATACGAGATGCCTCTTTTGAAATCTGAGAAACGGGAGTCGAATACATCAATAGCTTTATTGTTTTTTGAAAATACTTTATAAGTTCTACTCATTCTGACTTATAAGATTATAATAAAAACTTGAATTGTGAATGTATTTGGAAGGCGGGATCTATACAACATATTAACTGAGAGTGACGAGAGCAAAGCTGAGTGCAGAATGTATGAGTGCAGAATCTTATGAAGACAGATTATCCGAGCCGCAATAACGAAGACTCGCTAAACACATTAAACACTTACAATTTATTAAAGTTAAAAATGAAGATAAATCAAATTGAGAACCAGTAATTTCAAGAAAGTTTATATTACAATTTACTAAATTAAACCAAAAAAATCCCTTTTTACACAAAACCAGAGATTATTTTCTGCTCAAAGCCTATGATAAAGCAATTACTAAACTCGAAAGTGATTAGACAGCGAAACACAAAAACAGGCCGAATGCCGTCGAGCAAGCCGCAACGAAGCAACAAAGGTGGCACCTTTGTGTCGCGTCAGAAAAGCGTGGCCGACCGCCGGACAGCAATATCCTCTTACCTAAGCGCCCAAAGCACGAGCGGTCAGCGGAGAAACATTCCGTAAATGGAATGCTCTGCCTGCTCACGTGTTCCCTCCCTCTTACAACCTGGGATCCTTTAAAAGAGGCATGAAGAAGCAACATGCAGGCCGGCAAGGTGAGGACGGCTGATGTGGCAGGTAGAACTGCTGTACAAGCTATGACTTCACCGTCACTTAGCATCAGGTGGGGTGGAGTTATTCGGACCTATCTATAAAAAAACATAATTATGTTGTACTAACGGCCCCGGCGACTTATGTAACGTAAAAACCTTATTTACCGACAGAAACAGAACACTAGCAATAAGCAGGGTTATTTTACTGTCATCTTCTTTAACGAGGAGGTTACTTCCCCATATTGGGAACCTATGGATCTGGATGGACTCCTCTCAAGTAGTGTGAATTTCGTAGAGTAATTCGACGTCAAGAAATATCACATTAATTGTAAAAGGGTTATTGATTTTTGTTCTATAACTCGTCCACATGATCAAACGAAGGTACCTCGCTTGCATAGAATGTCATGTAAGATTTTAGCTATAATCCTGGACGCACCATTACCTGCAGCGAGATCAGAGAATAAGTCAGCGGTATTCTTACAAACAAAACGAAGTGACATAAAAACTATCAAAGAAAAAAGCTATCCAAGGTTTAAAAAAAAGTTTTTGCGGAAACGAGGGTACCCAAAAACCATTTCTACAAGAACGAGGAGATTTGGCGACTCATTTCTGTGCCTTAAAATTCGCAATGCATCCGGCTCCTTTAAAAGAGGCTTGAACAAGCGTTTGGCAATCCGGTGAATTGAAGAAAGCCTGCGTCTTACTTTAACACCATTTAATATCAGGTGAGGTTGATATAGCCTATCTAATCAGGAACAAGACCAACGAAAGTGATAAAATTATAATAATTGGTCGCTTATGACTTAAATGTGAAATAGATACTCATTTGGTCCGTAGGTAAATTTGTTGTCTCTACCCACACGTTGTGCGAAGATTTTGGTGCAGTTAATTGTCCCGTAACTTCATGTTGTGATGTTAGCTGACCTTTTAGAACGGGAGGTATAGGAGGTAACCAACGTACGGGACATGGATGAACGAGTATGATAAAGTGTACTGACTTGGCCTTGCCTTACCCCACCTGATGTTAAGTGGTGATAAAGTCCAAACGCGAAGATAGCTGGTACAGCAGTTTATAAAATGCCACTCAACTATCCTCACATTGACGGCCTGAAAATGCTTCTTCAAGCCTCTCTTAAAGAACTCCAGATTGTAGGAAGGGGGGAACACGTGCGCGGGCAAAGAATTCCATTTGTGAATAGTACGACAAAGAAATGAGCCACCAAATTTCTTTGTTCAAAAATTACTGACTTATTGTAAGAGAAAGCTTAAAATTTTTGCTTTGATTTTAGGGCAAAGACATCGCTCAGTTATTTGTTTTTCCTGATGCCAATTCAATTTAATTACAGCTGCCATTTTGCTAACAGGATTTCCTCCTAATCATTTCGGCAGTAATTTCCTCGTTGAGTAACAATCACTAAAAGAACCAAACTTATAAAGTTTCACATTTTTAATATCAGCAGGATTGTATAAACAATAATAGCGTCCTATAGTGATAAACAGAATAAGGTGAGAAGATATTAGAAATAGAACGTCATTTCATTCACATATAGTTTCAGCTGTGACTATAATACGATGGTGCTATACAATACATATTATATCATGAGATTGTTTTCTATGAATGTCCGTTTGAAGTCAACCATATTTTCGGAATCGCCAGCATACACTGCGAGCCAGAATGGGAAAAGGGGCCATCCAACAAAACCTTTATCTCCAATACGATATCCGCAAGTCAGCGTTGCACGATTAATAATCTACGGAAAAGATACATCTTTTCGAGATGAAACTTCCGTTCTTTATGAATATAAGTTTTAAAAGAACCGAGGAAACGCTTACAAACAAAAAAAAAAATGTGAACAAAACAGTTTCCCTTTTTTACGCGAAGAAGATTAATAGGAATATCGTTTCGTTGTACAGAAATTTTAGTCGGAACCAGGGTGAGAATTGTTTAGAAATTATAAACAGTAATTAACCACTTAGATAATCAAAATCCAAAGATCTATATGGCATTCTCGTGATTTGAATTTTCATTATTTTTTAGATTCATATCAAATATTATACCATATGAAGTATTTCAAATAGTTATATAAAAAAAATGTATGCACGGACCACACATCTGAAGTGAAACTTCTTTTCTTAAATAACCTATCAATTCATTAGGCGGTTCATAAGGCGTAGGGCAGTGTTTCCTAACCTTTCCAATACTGCTACCCCTGTAACCTATTAGGGAAACAGATTTTACCCCGATTTTAAAATGTTATCATCAGTCCAAGAAATTCCAATTTGGCCGCTACATCTTCGTCTCTAATAATCTCATCATCAGGAGATAATCACGCCCCGCTGCCCACACTCGTTACAAAAACGTTAAAAGAATTTTCCCTTCAAGAAATACTTTAATCTAAGTCTCTCAACCAACTAAGTACTTCAATAGAATATGGTGTAATCAAATGTTTCACCTCGCCACACCGTCTCACCAAAAGGTAGGCAAAGAATTAATTTTCATTAAAAATAAAATAAAATTAATATTTAAATTGCAACCCATTATTCATGCTTTCCGCCAGACAGACGAAGAATTATAAACGCGTAAAGAGATCGTAAATTCAATATTAGCTGTGGGCTCGGATGATCCAATAATTAATGTTCTATAAAAAAATATTCCTTTTTTACATTAAAATTCAATTCGATTTATTTGTCGGATGGTTTTTAATTTTTTGTATTATACATTCTGGATCTTCAGCCTTATAAAGCAAGTCAGAAATAAAAATAATGCATCATTCATAGATGAATGATTGGTCTCGCTACAGACCACCAATCATTTACCTATGGCATCATTATTATTATTGTATATACGAATTAATATCTTAATTATTAATATCACATGTAATACTAAAGCAAACAAATAATATTCTTTTCTTAAACCTGCTTGGAAATATGAGCATTATTTTGACAACCTTCTTTGAGATACATCTAAATTGCTGTACTGGTTGAGTACATGCGAGCAGCGGCCGGCAAAAGTTGTATGAAAATCCATATCAATCTGTCGTGTTTAGCGGCCAAATAAATTACATAGAAAATCATATCTGCCATGTAATTCAAAAATGGAACAATCTTTTACTAACTTATTTTGATAAGTTACCTCATTGGTTTCCATGTTTTGTCAAATTCCCGTTCGAAACGAAGAAAACTTTTTATTGAAAAAAAAAACACAAATAAACACTTCACGGGAAAAATAGTTGTGCTTCGTTGTGGACAACGTTTTTTGATTTTTCAGAATTTTGAATGTACGCATTCAATTTCGGGCATTATTTGAGAAAAGTACTATTGAAGCCTTGGCCACAACTTGACATTGATGGACTAACGTATGTGTGCGACTTCGCCTCGGCCCACATTTACATGTTCGTCCATCAATGCCTCTTTTTCTGGCACCTGCAGTAACGTAATATTTCTTTTATTGAATTCGAGTTCGGGAATGTAGAAACAAAATATTTTCTATATTATCTTTAGGCACCTTTGTTGTTCTTTAGTGTCCAAAACTAGTAATTCACTTACTTGAATATCAGTTCCACAATTATCTTATTTGAAGTTCCATTCAGAATCAGAATTGGAAATTTAATTGCAACAAATTGTGTGACAATCAAAATAATACAGAAAATGGGTCAATGGTTGACCTAAGTCAGGATTTTTTTTATGACTCTATTCTCTTTTTACTCCCCACCTGGCATTAATAGTAATAGCCTGGTAATAAAGTCCAAACGCGAAGATAGCTGGTACAGCAGTTATAAACTGCCACACCAACCATTCTCACCTGCCTGCAAAAATGCTTCTTCACGCCTCTCTTAAAAGACCCCAGATTGTAAGAAGGCATGCAATTTTAACATGTAGGAAAAAATATTTTAGACATTAGGAATCTTTTTATGCTATATGTGTACTCATTATAACTTTCTGTATTGTCCACAGCACCCCCCAACGCCGTGGAGATCACTAACCACCCCCACAACTCCAAATTGGAGGTAAAGGAGGGGGAGGATGTCTCTCTGGAGTGTCTCGTGAAGAATGCCAAGCCCGCAGCCAAGATCATCTGGTACCGCGGCAACGTTGAGCTGAAGGGAGATAAAGGTGAAGTATATCATAATTATAAAACAGCCTTGCCTTGCCTTGGAGTGTTAAAAGAGTGGAAACAAGGATATGACCCGCCTGATGGTAAGTGGCCACCATAGCCTCTAAATGCTGGCAATGATATCACTCGCGCCATTGCCTATCCTGACACCAATCATCAACCCTGTGAAACCCTGGAACTCACCGACAGGAACACAACACCACCAAGAGGTCCTCCGTGCTTCGGAAGGCACGTTAAGCCGTTGGTCCCGGCTGTAGCTGCAGTAGTTAGCCGCAATCCGCACCCCTACAGTTGGGGCATTAATCGGCTGATGATGATAATTTTATTAACTACGTACAGCAAATAATCTTATCTTGTCTGATAATATTAAGTGCTAACATAATCTGGTTGCGAAGATAGCAACAAATATGCCATTCAACTATACTCACCTGCCGGCCTGTTCCGAATCCTGAACTTTACTCATCGACAAAAACACAACACCAATGGGTAGTGCTATTTTACAGTAGTGGTCTTCTGGAAGACAACACATTTTTCTTTTGCACCCAGATCCCAGGACTTTGTATAACTAAAAGTTAAAAATATGGATGATAAAATATGCAGTAATGTTTATTTAATTACCATTTCACAATTTGCTCTGTACCAGCAATTTCATTAACACCGCAAGACATATTATTTAAAACCCACAAATTGGATATAATTTCGATTGCATAATGAGTGTGAATTTTGTGGTTGCAATTGGCTACAAAAATACTATTTTAATCAGCAGTTACTATAGTTTTAGGGATTCCAGATGGCTGACAACGAAACCCTGTTACTATTAAGCCTTTTCTGTACGTCCTTCTATCTGTCACGGGGTAGTATCTCATGAACCGTAATCATTAGATTGTTGAAAATTTTACAGGTTTTAATATTCTATTGCCGAATATAAACGATAATTATGAACAAAATGAAATGAAGAAATGTCGACTTCCATACAAAAGAACTTTATCCGATCTGAATTCCCACAATCATTTGTATCCAAAAGCGGATTGAGATAGTGGTAGTTTTTTGTTGCAACGCACTACGGAAGGTCGAAAACTTTCGATTACTTGTATGTACCCGAATAAAATAACAAAAAGTTGACTGAAAGATTTCCCTATTCCTATACCAACTGTCAACAACAGAAGACATTGGAAAAGTTACTCACGAGATTGAAACGTAGGGAAGTAGGTATCTTTAATTTTTTTCCATCATCATGAATGTTGGACTTTCTTCAAAAGTAATATTCATATTCATTTAATCACGCATGTTCTAAATGCATTCCTATGAAGCACTGAATCATTGTTTCCCGATACAACAACTACTCTGATGATCATTTTATTAGTTTATTAATGTAATATTGAAACTAAGATAGATTTTAGGGGCAATTTTATTTTAGCTTCATGTGTAAATATTTCGACATTAATAACATTGCAAATAACCACAAACAATACACACTGTCTCTTTACCTCGTAGTGAAAAAACCATCCATGAGGTATTGAAGTAGGTTTGAGGCCAGTAATGTGATAGTTAGCATGACATATGGGTTTTTGGATTTGTACGTTACTTTTTTAAATATAATAAAACTATGGCTTTCGTATTCTTCTTAAATGCTGGTGTTTGTCGTAATTCAACACTTATTACCTTCTGTCATTCCAGCTTCCCTATGAACTTCACTTCTTCAATCACTAAATGTTTGTTATGGAGGTATCCCAAGACTTCCTTAAATTTGCAAACTTAAAAGTTTAGCAGTTATGGTTTTCATTAATTATCTTTACGTCTTTCTACCCAAAGAGTAGATTCAAGTATGTCGATGTAAGCTAATAATGAACATTAATGAAGTCCAAATATATCCGTATAGTTAGTAATTTTATAACCCTTACTTGCTATTAGTCGTTTCATATATCCTGGCAATTATAAACTGGCTCGATACTAATTGGGCCTGTTGCTTCCGCTCGTTCGTCTGAAATCATTAATTAAGCAAGTTTTCGATTTCAATCAACAAACAATTGCATCGGGCTATCTGTAGTGATGCACGGATATATCGATTTATCGATATGCCCAGTGTAATAAGTGATTTCCGATAGAAATGTAAATATTCTGTACATTTTTAATTGATGATGTATTTTTTCAATTCCATCACTTATAGGTAAACATTTTGTAGTAATTTTTTTTAACTCAGTGTTTATTTTTTTACTTTGGTAATAGAGTTGGTTATTTGTTAAACTTGAATTCGGTGTATTCTTGCTGATATATCGAATAGAATGTTATTATGTTAAGTTCATCTTACAAATATCACTTGATCCCCGTTTAATCTCAGTTTCATGTTAAACTTCAGTAGTCTTTAATCAAATTAAGCAGCACTGCCAATTATTTAAAAAAATTACTCGGATAAACCTAGTAACACGACACAGAACGCGTCAACATACAATGTTGATGCATCGTTTATTTTATACAGAAATATTTATCAATAAATTATAAGGCTAAAGGTCCCACAGCAGGTAATAGAGAGAGCAATACTTCGTATTTTTTAGCGTGGTAGAATCAAAAATGAGGAAATTCCTAGAAGAACTAAAGTAACCGACATCGCTCAAAGGATTGTACTGCTGATGTGGCAGTGGGCGGGACACGTAGCAAGGAAAACCGATGGCCGTTGAGGCGGAAAGGTTTTTGATTGGCAACCACGCATCGGACGATGCTCGGCAAGCCCCCCACCAGGTATACGGACAATCTGATGAAGGTCGCGAGAAGTCGATACATGCACTTGGCGCAGGACTGATCGATGTGGAGATCCTTGAGGAGGCTTATGCTCAACAGTGGCCATCGACGTCGTCGTCAGCTGAGATGAATGAATTGTTACTATTAACATACATTATTTTACAATGACATAAAATATAAAAGTTAGTATTAAAAAATCATATGGCCAATACTTTATGATTTTTCTACATTACTTGTTTAAAAGCACCAACCAAACCATAAAAATACAGATCCGTTAAAATATCAATGAGTCAAGAAATCGTTTGCACGAATAACTTCTTGCACGTGAAATCGTAGATCCCTGAACAAGGAAAATCTACAGGAATTCCACGAAATATTACGAAACGGGTCACTTATGCGAATTCCTTAAAAGAAAAGATCCTTCCCTATTACTATTAAAAATGCCGTGAAAAATATTTCGCGTTAGATAGGTTGAGGCATAAAATATTAGCTGTCGATATTCGTTAGCTGCATCACTAGTTTTTCAGCGAGGAAACGTTTCTAGATGAGACTTTTTATTTTTAAAATTACAAGATGACTGTATTTTCAAATGAAAATAATTTCGAGAATAGGTTTTGACAAAGTAAAAATTTACAGGTTGAGTTTGAAAAATGGGGCTTAATATTTTTTTAATTGATGAGCTCAATGGTGCAGTGGCAAACACGTTTGGTCTCTGCCAAATGGCTATACATAGGATGGGTGACCAAAAATTTTTTTTGTAATACTTCCTTTTTTCGTATCGCATATTTAGCCATTGTTCCCCACTGTATGTGCAATCGTCGTCATTGCCCGTTCCTCTTATTCCATCCATAAGTGATGTCTGGGCTCCAGCTGTGGTTAAACGAATTTTTGCAGTTTTTGGCAACAAAAGATCTATTAGAACTACTTTAATTTGATTTTTTATAACAATAATAATTAAATTTATTTGGATAAATTTTTAAAAAAGACAGTACAGACAGAATGATTTAAGAAGTATAAGTTACGACCAAAAAAACCTTTACCAAAAAATTTACTTTGTATCCTATTTCATTATTAAAAACTTTTAGTGTGCAAATCTTTCATAAAAAGTGTTTATTTTTTGACGTATTACGATAATAATTATATCACACATCATATCTATAACATCGCCATTTTGCATTACAAGGAAAAAATATGTTTCGCTGGTTCATTATTAATTTAATCTGACTGTCATTTTGTCTTGTTACTCTTGCTTTAACTGTGATAAACAGAATTCATATAGATATAAGTTAGCGTCGTAAAAAATAATATCTCAAACGCAGTCTCTGACAAAATTAAACCTATTCTAACTTGTTTCACAGCTATCGATGAATCGAAGACACATCCAGCCATTTACTTTACCGAAGCGTGGTTTCTCCCAATTCCAATAACCGCAGTGACACTGACATGAGCCCTCCACTCCTCAATAACCCCCTTTCCCACCACTCTTTGTGAGGGTGTCTCCAGAGGAAATTATTTTATTGAATTTTTAATTCAAATCCGTTTTCGTTCGAACCGATGTTATTCGGGCTCCATTGAATTTACTGTAATGTCATCCAAGTAATCAAATTCGGAAGATGTTTTATTGACTTAAATTCCCCTTGAAATATTATTCGGTATATATGTAAAGGTTACGCGAATTTATTTCAAACAGTCTTTTACTTACAAAGAAAATTGAAACCTCGTCATTCAAATGAAAGTTGTTTGGTATCTTCCTAAAAGATATCGGAAGAGTGGTTGAAAGCTTTTATACTATAAAAGAAACAGAATCTAACAATAAAACTATTTTATTAGTTTAAAAGGGTATGAACATGAAAGACTCTTGAGGTTCTAAGAGATCGTTATCGCGAAGATAGCAGCCTATGACCTTGTAGTTGAAATTGGAAATTCTATTCTTTAGTACCTATTATAAGACCAAAACCATTAACTTGAGTAGCAGCATCGGTTGAAACATGATATATTAGTTTTCTTGATATAAGTTTAAGGTGAGGAATGTTTTGAAATTTGCTTAGTTCTATATTTAGTCAATTTTAATTAAACTTTTTTGTCTGTTTTCTGAAGTTCGATGTGGAATATTTCCTTTCATAACATGTACACAGCTACTTAACTCGGTTGGTAGATTTATAAACACCGAAAAGCTCTTTACTAAAATTATATTTACAACTTCTGTTGAATTTCCCATCGCGATGAGGTCTAAATATAACGGAGTTCAATTCATTTCTACTTT